AGAGCGTTGATCCAGACAATGAATCTTCTTTCATTTTCAAACCAGAACCACGCTTTTATAGGGCGACCAGCGGATTCTGCGAATTTTTGCGGTTTAATTTTTCCAGTTGGTCCCCCTGTGCCTCCGACAATTGATCCCAATCAGCCAGCCTTTGATCCTTTTTCTTGACTATGTCTGGGCGTGCCTAGTTTCCATTTTGTCCACCCTCAAGTGCCCGCCCCAATCTATCATCATAAATAAACGGAACCGCTATCATCTATCAGTCAGACGGGAGAAGAGTGTCGACGCGACGCTTATACCACGTAAGCGGTAAAAAGTTAAAAGGGTCAAATAAACTCTGTCCATTAAAACAGATGGGGCAAAAAGTGAATGTACATCTGTTGATCAAGAATAGAGCACCAAGAAAAGGGAAGAGAGCCGAGAGCTCGTACCAAGGGAAATATGACAGGAAAGGGATAAGGAGAGACTGTGGTGAGCGGCGGTGTTTCGTTTAATCACGAGAGGGTATGGGTGGCGGCGAGTATAAGATCTAGACCCTGAAGAGTCTGGAAGAAATACAAACCACATATGGATAGAGTGTGATGGGGTGTAAAGAGCGAAGCGGGGATCAGGCACGGTGAATGATCAGAGAAGAGGGGATCAGGTAAGGGGGTGAAAAATTAAGAACGTCTTGTTTAATTGACTCTATTATATAGAGTATTTGCTGGGATAGAGGCTGGCTACTGTAAGGTACTAATTTGCTTTGGGTAGATGTATCGTTTTATCGCTCTCTCGTTTTAGGTCGCATGACGATTCTGAAAGAAACCGAGTCGAGTGTGAATAGACCAGAGGAACCGGAAGTAATCGTGAGAAGCCGAACTGGAAGGCTGGCCTTGGCTGCTTGGCTCCATTCACTGTACAATGTTGCAAGTAAGGCAACCGGGTACAAAGGCACAACCCAACGAGGGTGTAGCCTATTTAGTAGTTAGGGCACCTCCAGCAGTTGACGCTATTTCCATCAGTAGGAGCGGGCTCATCAGTGGTGGTGGTAGTGTCCGTTGAAGGTGTAGGGAGTCCAAATCCGGGGTTTGGGACTGGGACAGCAATGGCGACCATAGCGGTGGCGACGAGGACGGTGATAAAGCGAATTGGATTCATATCGAGACGAGAAGTTTTGGGTTTGATCTGTAGGGGTTCATAAGTACGTGCATATCTCGCCTCAAGAGAAGGGGGAAGAAGGGAGAGGAGAGTGGAGACGGCAAGGAGCGTCAGCCTGTGGCGCTGAGGGTGACCGCAGAGCCTGATAGAGACTGTAGAAGACGGGAGAGAACGGGCTTGACATCTGCAGCTGGACGACCAGGAGTACGCCCGCAGTGAAGAGGAGACAAGAGGGACCAGCAAGCTTACCTAGAGGGAATCCTACGAGTTAGCAGGTAATAATTGCAGAGATAATCTCAAATACCTTTTTCGATAAGGTTTAACTGGCCTTGAATACCTGCAGATCGAGAAGCAGCGAGAAGCTAGCCAAAAGCCAAAAGGAAGGTAGATGGTAGACAGCAGCGCAGAGGGGGATCTAAGCTTCTTTTCATTGTCTGGATCAACGCTCTTTATAGTGAGACTAAGCTCCGTTGTCGGCCTATCCTAGTGGTCTTGGCGATTTGGCTTGGGACCTACTTGACCCTGAACTATGTCATTCACCTTTCTGGGACTTACGCAATAGAATCGAGATGCACGCTAATGTTAATGGAGAAAGGCAGACAGTGTATTAAAAGAGCGGACGCTACAATCCAAACCATCAGGCTAGGAGGGGAGGGACAAGAGAAATCAACTCTCTCTACGAGTATCTCCAAGAATGACAAGAATGGAATATAGACAAGGATGTGTCCTGGAAGGTAGGGAAAAGAACCTTGCAGACCAAAGAAAAGGAGAAACGCCGAGCCTCGAGAGAGGGTATCGGCGGGGTAAAAGGTGAGGGGGATATAAGAGTTTGTGGTTGTGACGATAGGGTGGCACTAAATGTCACTGCGGGTTGAAGGATGTAATGTAAAAGGAGCGGACGGGACAAGAGACAGAAGAAGTGGGTCGTATTGAAATCCATCACAGTTTCGTAAGAAAATTATGATAGATCACAAGCACCGCGACTGCTCTGATCCACAGTAGAGTATGTAAAGGGGTTATAAAAGTTGAGAGAGTTATAGAGTATGCTTCGCCTGAATGTTCCAATTGATTCGAGAACAATGTGATTTTCTTCTTTTCTCCGATTGTATTAAATTTCTCCAAAGAGGGCCGATATTGTTGTATAAAACCATGCAGTCGAGTCGAAAATGAGATAAGTTTCAATAGCACCGT